AACAAACAAACTTTGAATAATCCCATTCAACTATTTGCTATAAAGTAAGATTTCTGGCATACAAACAAAAAAAAAAAAAAACTGACGACCTCTAGGTCTACGTCTGATTATAACTAAGCTACAACAAGGTTTCTTTATCTCGATACATAGAATGTTGGATTTGAGCATTGAAGAGGTGACATATTGATGCAACAAAAGCATGAAACAATGATTTTAAGAATACCCTAGAGTTTTGGGATCAAAACTTTGTTGATTTTTATGAAATATCTTGAAATTTGATTTGAGTTTTGAGAGGATCTATTGAAAAAGACACAAAATGTAACAAGGCCTTAAAAAAAAAAATCCTAACTTTCATCAAATGAAAATGTCACTCAGTTTTTCATACATATTTTACCTTCTAAATTGTACCTAATGCCAATATTTTATGGAAACTTGTTAACCTATGAAAAGCAAGAGAAATTAAGAATATGTTGCTTTAAAAATAATAACAAAGTTTTAAAAACCCAATTAAAGCATTAATCATATTCCATCTGGTCATTGACCATGCTAAGGTATATTAGGTTTACTGGGTCACTGATTCAAGTGGGATCTACACTTTTCTTGGGACAATAAGAAGTTTAAATAATATATGGTTAGTTATGGCAATAATAAATATTAATTTTATGGTTTATGTTTTCCTTCGATAGTTTTTCATTTTTTTTTTTTTTTTTTTCAACAATAACAATGATTTATGAGTTAGTATTTTTATATATTAAAGAAATTGAATTTATTTTTCTGTATAAACAAAGTATATGGTAATAATATTCTTTTTCTTGAGACAACAAGAAGTTTAAATAGTACATGTTTAGTTATGGCAATAAATAAATTTTATGATTTATGTTTTCCATTGCTTTTTTTTTTTTTTATTACAATAATAATGATTTATGAGTTTGTATTTTTATGGACTCATCGTCTTCATTGTAATATTAAAGAAAATAATTTTTTTTTTTTTTTGGATAAACAAAGTCTTAAGATAGTTGTTTAACATTTGTAATTAGTCAGTCAAATATTAAGAATATATGGACTAATATTATAAGAAATTTAGTAAATGTCATATTTGAATTTTTTGTTTCCAAAAAAAAAAATTATATAATATTCACAAATAAATAAGACATGTTTTTCAGTTTTTTATTTTATTATCGGGTCATCGGTTTTTTGAAAACCCGTTAGAGTCGCAAGGGTTCGTTCGAACCAATTTAAGTGTAAATCGGTCTGTCTAGATCTACCTAGGAGTACCCATCCAAGTTTGAAAACATTGAATCGAAAAGAATAATAAACATTTTACTCAACCTGGAATTTTTATCATTACATTTTCTTGTCCAAATAATGAAAACAATACATTCAAAGAACCTAGTTTAGTTAGAAGAAAATTCAAAGGTGGGCTACGTAAAATGGCTTTAGAAAAAGAGATGGCGTGTCATTAACCTCAAACAAATCCACCAAAATGAAGTAACCAACAAGAATATGTGCGTGGATTAGATTTTTGTTGCTGAAATTTAGTTAAAACATAAAACTAACCCTAATTTATTCTTAATAAACTAATTAACGTGTTTCAATTGTCTTTCATTTTCAGTTAACAAAACCCTCTTATTCTTAATTAAGGTGAAGTATGTGGATTAAGATAGTGACAGTTCAGCTAATTTTATGATCATTCCAAGAATTTTCTGAGGTGATTCATCTCCAGAAGTTTCAAACAATACTATTGATCCTGATTGGGAGCGTTACAGCAAATTAAACTAATTCGGACATATTTGATACGCGGGAGTTGCTTATTTTAGAAATAGATTGTCGAAAATACGCGTTTGTTTCTTATGGTCTGCATTCGTTGCTTTATTGCAACTCGAGTTTCATGTCGTTTGAAGCAATATTAAAGTTTGATTAGTGATATTGTGCAGCCACTCTTGAAGGAGTGTTCACATTAACTTGGGAGGATCCATTGAATAGCATTGCCTAGCAGGGGCGGACCCCAGGGGTCCGGGCGCACTTGACCCCCAACTTTTGAATTTTTTTTTTTTTTATAAAGTCAAATTTGGTATCGATTGAAATATAAATCAAAGTTAACAATTAATTTTAATAACATATTTCATAAAATTGATGACTATTTAACTTTTATTGAAATTTACTAAAATTTTGATTTTAATCTCCGTCAAATAGAGGCAAAATCACAATAAATTTGAATTTCAATAA